AACCCTATCCCCCCCCCCCCCCCCCCCTTTTTTCCTCCCTTCAGAGCTGAGCATATAGCTTGAAGGTGTGGACACCAGGTATAGATGGCTTATGAAGGTTGTTCAGAAAATAAAAATAATTAATTTCTGAAACTGCTTATAGTCAAGGATGACAGATTGATCAGCATTACCTGTCATCTGTACAGTTAATCTGATATTTTAGCAGCAATAAATCTATATTAAGGCTACCCTGACTATGCCTTGCAAAATAAGCCACTGACAGCATGAAAGGAATCATAACATTATAAATAAGTAAAATTGCAAAGAACACTCTGGTGTGGCTAAATAGCATATATAGAGTAGACCAGTAAAGCATGGCATGGACGACACAGCTGCCAGTAAACAATATTTTTTAAAACCCTGACAGCATTTTAAGGCTAGAATGATTTTCATAACACAAGGAATTGAGTTTTTATTACATGGCAACAACACTAATATAGGAAGCACAAAAACGAGGGTGGATTTTAATGGGTGGATTTTAATGAAGTTGGTGACCACAGATCACATTTATTTTACACACTGTGCTTGAAGTCATGAGTCCAGGATCACTCTCCCGGAGCTCAAAGGCCACCAACTTAAGTAGCCCTCACTTGTCAAATTTCACAGTTATCACATGGTATTCCTCTGCCACAGCATCTTGGGCTCTCTCCAGATGAACTGTTTGACAGATCATTTTCTAAGGAGCTCACTGAATCTTTCAACAGACAGCCCATAGCCTGGAAACAAGTATTCACCTGTGCCAGTGCCTTCCATCTGCCTTTACAAGGAAACTTGGGCAGAAAATGAGAAAACCTCAAATAGAAAAATACCAGATTTGGAAGGAAGAAGTGCTCACCATGTTGCATAAAAATATGTGAACTGACCAATAAAGGAGGAGATAAAGAAGCACTGTAAGAATTAATCATTATACTCAAAGAATATTTTTAACGTATCACATTGACAATAGGCACTACAGATCACCATCAGAGAAATTACATCCCCTAAAGACCAATAGTGGGAAACACTAGTCACCTATTTCAACCTCTTTTTAAACTAATCCTCTCATATACAATACTTCAGGGCTTTTTATGTGAACTTGTTAGGAAGACTCGGTGTACATTAACTTCTTAAAAATAAGGGTAAACAATAAAAACTTCCAAAATATTGCAGGACCAGTGCAAAGACACACCTAAAGCTAGGAAAAAGTAGTTTTGAGAAATAATAAATTACCAAAAGGATGGCATTTCAAGGAAATATAACTAGTAGCCTACCTTTAGCTGAATACATCAAGAAATTTCCTAAAGTGAGCCAATAGGTACCAATACTTTCATTAGCAAGTGCCCAAAATTCTGCTATTATTCAAATGCACTGGGCTGTAAAGTTGTCATCTCATGCCTGTGGTCCTTTTAAGGACTCATGCGCAAGATGTTCCCGATCATTTTGAAAGTTCTGGTGGTATATGTCACACCAAACCTCTCTGACAGCTTGAAAGAAGGAAGCCGAATCAAGCCTTTCATATGTGAAATGATCATCAGCAGGTGTGTACACACTTGAGCACAAACTAAAGGCCTGTGCATATCCCAAAAAATGATAAGCAGGTTGTTTCAGAAATGGGCTCTAAGGGCTGCCCAAGAGGTAAGGTGAAATGGGCAGGCAATTTAGTTTCAAGGCTAACTTAGTACAGCAATGAGAGGCAGCTACCAAATCCATAGCTCCCAATCAGGAGCCCTCCATCATCACTTCACTGGCCTCACAGGACTTAATAAGATAGCTTAATAAGAAGGTACAGAGGATGTTTGTCTATAGGCTGTCCACAAGCTCATTAGATCCTCTCTCCCCAGCTCTCTGTTGCACCTACTCTTTAGTCGTAACAGAGCTCTGCCTCTGTGTTAGGGAGCTACAACACTAAGCTTGTGGAAACCAAAACGCTCAAGCAGCCCAGGGTCACCTGAAGAGACTGTTTATAGGGTTTGTCTTCCTGGATTCACCCTGGCACCACTGACTGCTCTCAGCACGTCTATCTAATTACTGTGGCTGAGTCACCCTTTTTTAGGCCAATTCCCAAATTAAATTACATGCAGTGATTATATAAAATAAGACAAGGGAGCTTAAACAGAGACTTATTTCTTGCTAAAAATTTGAAAGAATTTTTAAAATCACAATGAAACAACTTCAGAGTTTCACATTTTCTGTTCTCTACTGAAATAAACTCACCATTTTTCAAAAGTGCTACAACCCACAGATCTGCTCTTGAGGACTCTTTCAGCACCTGGCAGGTATCTGGGCCTGTGTCTGGCTTTTGAAGTCCTGGATGTAATTGTAGAATCATTAATGGTCCATAGAGTTAAGGCAAAAATAGTTGATACTGTAGTAAAAGTCTGCACAAAGCCCCATAGTATGTCAGTGAAAAGACACTTAAAGAAAACAAATCTCCATCAGGACATTTTTGAGGCATTATTTTTCTACTTTCCCTTTCCAAACCACAGAAGCCTTAGAGAGTTTACCCCAGAAGAGGTGGTTGGTATCACGTCACATTCTTGATGTGACTGCCCAGAGAGTTTTGTTCTGAAAAGCATCCTTTGCAGAAAGAAATAATAACCTCAGTATAACTGGGCTGAATCTAAACTAAAAATGCCTGTCTTGGTTGTATGCTAATCAAATGATTAGCAACATCATGTTCTGCAAAACAGCCAAATTAAGTGTTCATTCACATGTGTACCAATTTAATTTTTGTGCATCTTTATAATTTCCTATTTTTTTTAAGATTATTTCACCATGTCCTTGGCACAATGGTTATAAGCTCATTCCAAAGACAGTTATCACAGGGGTTTGACTCAAATCTCTGTAGACAGCTTTCAGTGCAGAGCAGAGTTCAGTTACAAAACAGTTGTTTTAACGTCTGCCACCACTCAGAGGGGCAGATAACCTATTTACATAAGGCTGTTGTAAAAGTCTTACAGTGCCATGTATCTTTTTAGACTTTGTCATCTGGTTCTATAGATGGTTCTTTCTAAACTCCTCCTTACTTGGGTACTTGTTCATTAAAGGGTTGAAGTTCATACTTTCAATGAAGCTACCAGGAGTTTGAACAGCACAAGAAGTATAAACACAAGTGAAACACATCCCCTAAATCAGCTAGTACTCATGGAAACCTCACTAATGAAGTCCTTGGCGAGTCTAATTTTCCTTCCAGTAGGCATGTGTTCATGAAGAATAACTTACTACGAGATGAAGTGTACATGTGCTAACACAAGTTTCTGATGCCCTTGTCTTAGTTTCCCAAGGCCATGTAGCTCCTGTCACTACTACAGGCACGCGGAAGGGCAGTTCTCATGAGTGATGGGGAAAGGACCACCTGTAGATTAACAGTAATTTCTCCCAGTTCTCCTGGAGTTGTAAGGAATCATAGAGAGATAATAAAATTATCCTTCCACACCAGTCCTTTGACCAGAAACCACATGTAAGGGTTAATATGCTGAATCTTCTACAGATGCGGTAAGCAGTGATCTTACAGGGACTCAGTAACAGCAACAGCCTCTACTTGTCTGTGGCATAGCTGTTTCTTAAAGGCATGCTTCATCTCAGATACATAACTAACATTTCAGGCCTGCTTTCCCCACCAAATAGATACAGGATTTTAATCAGACTATAGACAAGCAAGTGACCAGAACTTTTCTTTCATTTGGTGGGTGGCTGAAAATATATGTGAGACAGGAAAACCTCGAAACACAGAATTCTCATACCATGTAGTTGAAGAGGCAATTTGTCCTACCGGCGCCAGAGGGTGATGTTAATTAAATGTGAACGAAGGATAATAAATCAAGCTGGTATGTACTGAACACAAATGAAAAACAGTTCACCATAATAAGTCTTATTATACTTATTAAACTTTAATATAAAAAAATTAAATTACAGCTAGTTCTGTAATGACCAGTATCAACACAAGATGGTTTTCTTTTTAAAGTTCTAGAAAAAGTGTGTATTCCTGTTCCCGAGTCTCAGAAAGCATTTCTTGCCCAGTGCCACCCCAGCATCTATTAGGATCAGACAAAGTGAATGAGCAATTCCCACAGCACTTCCACAGCTCCCAGAAGGCCGACCGAGAAGTCCCAGAAGGAACACACCAAGAAATAGCTTGGTATAAACTCAGCAAAAGCAACTGGAAGAAACATGGTACAGATCTAGAGCAAGATTTGTTAATTGTATTCAGTTAGAAATGACAGAAGAGAAAGAGTAAATGTGGTAGATCTGAAAGTGGCAAAAGCACAAAAAAGAAAAATCAACATTTACTACTTTTTTTTAATATTGTTATTTAAGAAGAAGCCCAGTCATAAGACAAAGAAAACATTACCCACAAAATAATTTGCGTGTTGTCAAAGAGAAGTAGAGCCCTTACCCAAAGCTCTGAAACATTACAAAACAAACATGTGATTTGGACTCCTCAAATGCCATACGAAGACCTAAAACATATAAAAATGGTGACTCATTTCCTCCAGGAAACCACAAATCTGTTCAGTTCAGATAATCTGCTTCTATTATTTCTGGTATTCATCAAATATAGATATGTTTGCCCATCCTCTGTTGATCAAAACATGCAAAAATACTCAAGACTATTCACAAAAATGAAGTCCAAGCCTGAAGCCGCTGCCTGCACCATGGCTAAGAGGAGACATACTTTGGGGTGTGCTAGAAGGCTAGCAAAACAGGCTGGGCTCATGTTCCTGTACCAAGGACTTTTCACAGAGTAACCTTTCCTGTAGCACACTAAGATCACAGATGTGCAGTGAAACCACCATCATCATCAGAGTTGCACAGACCCACCTGAGGGGCACGGGCACCCCATTCCTCACCCCGCTTTCCAGGACAGAAATGATCAAGGGGCTAACTTGCATAATCACAGGATTAGAGTTGGATTCTCCAATAATATCCACAAAACTAGACTCACTTGCATCTCTCAGCAAGTATTTTCAAAATTACCCTCTTACTATAGAACAAAGAACTACATATGGCCACATACAGTTGAAAGTGGCAGCTGAAAGGAGGATTATAATCTCTTAATTAAAACATTGATCCAGTCTGGCATCAAAAGCCAAATTTAGATTTCGGCATCTGTGAGATATAAGAATTGTCTTTATTAGATCAGGAAGGTTGCCTACAGCTAATACCACCAGCCATTATAAATTAACAGATTTGTCAGAAAGTGGCATTGATTTCCAAAAGCAGTCAGCACCTGTCCTTACCACTTTTTCTGTGGAAAGCTAGTACACTGCTTAAGGAGCTGTGTGAATCCCATGTTAATTTTCTTACACTAATAATTTTCTGGGTTTACTGCTGGCTATATTACATAAATCTTCCCCCTGAATTTCAGATGTTTGCAGACCTTCACAGAGTGGATAAGACAGAGCTCTCTAGCCCAATTCTGCTGGGCATGGCAAAGTTCATAAAGATTTTTAGTTACTCACTCATCAGAAATAGTAACACGTGTCAAGAAAAGGGCCTGGACACAGGTCCCACTGAGTTTAAATTCAGTTAAGGAAACAAAGGAACAGCTTGTTCAGTGGCTTATGACCGAGTGGCAGCAGACAAATGCTTTGATCTAAATCAAGGCGGAATATTCCTCCAGACAGCAGAGTGTAATAAAAAAGAAAGTTACAGAAAGTACCTGAGGAAACTAGTGTCAAAGTTCAGTAGATCAAAATATGTGTTCATGTGAGTGTCCCTGGAGTGCATATTAGAGCTTGCAAAGCTCTAACAGAGCAATTCACTATTTTAGACTAACAACGTATAAAAATCAAGAGGCTCAGAAAAAATTCTTGTAAGATGCTGACACCTTCCTAAATTTACAATAAATCTTCTGATGTTTCTCCTTTAATTTCTTCTTCCAGATTTTCCCAGGACTGAAATAAGATCTTCTCTTTTTTCTGCAATACATTCTTCCTCTTTCCCAGCATCTCCATGGGCAGTTTTACTTCCAATTTAATTTGCGTTTTCTCTCTTTGTCCCCATGCAAATGTTGTATTGCCTTAACCAACAAACTCTTCTGTAGCTTTTGTTTGCAATCTAATTGTAGAAGCTCTATAAGCCTGTGCAAAAGCTAAGCTGCCCATTGACCTAACCAAAGCAGTGTTTGTAGACAAATTCAGAAGGCAAGATGCATTACATTGAGAATTTGTATGGATTCCAATTTTAGTCTGATTCCTTTAGTGGTTTTGCAGCATACGCTCAGGAGATGGAGAGAGCTAGGCTTGAATAGAAGGTGTCTTACTAGTCATAGCCACACAAAACAGCCACATCAAAGTAAAAATTGATATTAAAGAATATTTGCAAAGGGGATGAAAAAGTAATGTAAACACTGTCTTAGTCTCTGTAGTCTCTATGATGATCCTTTATCATAATATCAGAGTGTTGTCTACTAGGGAAATGTGTCTTCTTTATTAAAGAAATATGATACAGCTTACACCCGAAAAAGAAAGGGAAATGAGCCAGTATTCCAACATCAAATGTCAGATCTTCCCCTATCTAAGCTTGCAGATGATTA